ATAATTTTAAAATATTTTTTAATAAATTTTAATAATAATTTTTAAAAAAAAAAAAAACTTAAAAAAAAAAAAAAAAAAAAAACTACGGGTGGCCGGTCATTTTATTTTTTTATTTAATTTTTTTAATTTATTATTAAAATTAATTATTAAAATTTATTAAAAATTATTAAAATGCCAACTCAGCTGCCACGTAAGTAGGTAATCTGTTAAAATTGATGGTAACCTGCTATCTAGTGAAATTGCATACATTTAGAGTGTTCAGTGACTTAATTGCACTTTTGAATGTTCAGTGGCCTAATTGCACTTTTTTTTCGTTCAGTGGATGAGAACTGATTGTATTGTATCTACTGAACTTGATTACAATGAGATCAGATAATGTGAATATATAGAATAGAGAGTCACACTGTGACAATGATAAGAAAGTCACAGTGTGACAATGATAAGAAGTAGAGAGTCACAGTGTGACAAGGATAAGAAGTTCTAAACAGACTCATCTACCTAGAGTCCTAATACTCCCCCTCAAGCACAGTGTATACTAGTAACCTGTAGCTTGTCCCTTAAGGAAGAAAATCTAGGTCCAGGCAGAGCTTTGGTGAAGATATCAGCAAGTTGATCCTTTGTGGAGATGAAGTTGACTTGGATATCGCCCGAAGCTACTCGATCACGAACAAAATGATAATCAATCTCCACATGCTTGGTGCGCGCATGAAAGATTGGATTGGCACTCATATATGTAGCTCCTAGGTTATCACACCATAATTTTGGAATGGAAATACCCGGAATCTGTATCTCACGCAGTAATGACATAATCCATAGAACCTCAGCACAAAAGCTTTGTATTCAGCCTCAGTGGATGACCTGGCAACAATTCTCTGTTTCTTGCAAACCCATGATATAAGATTACTCCCCAAGAAAACAGCAAAACCACTCGTGGATTTTCGATCGTCAGGACAACCAGCCCAATCAGAATCAGAGAAAGCATGAATGTCTCTAGATGAGCACCGTCGTATGCGTAAACCATGATCAACTGTTCCCTTAACATACCTGAGTACCCGTTTGAGCTGCTCCCAGTGTGATATGGTGAGAGCATGCATATGCTGGCATAACTGATTAACTGCAAAGGATAGGTCAGGTCGTGTGACAGTGAGATATTGCAGTGCTCCAGCTAGACTCCTGTACTGTGTGGGATCATCATATAGATCTGAATTGAAGGGGACAGTTTTCGAGACAGAGATAGGTGTAGAAAGGGGTTTGCATTCAGACATTCCAGCCCGTTTTAAAATATCGTTCATATACCGTTTTTGAGATAAAATAATCTCATTGTCACTCTTAACTGTTTCAATACCGAGAAAGAAATTTGGTTCACCAAGATCTCTGATTTTGAATGTAGCAGACAGTTTGGACAAGAGCTGAGACATAATACCCTGATCACTTCCCATTACAAGAATGTCATCCACGTACACCAATAGATAAACCAAAGCAGAGTCTTTAGAGTAATAGAACAGAGAGACATCTGTCTTGGATGCTTGAAAGCCAACCGATAGTAAGAACGTATGTAGTCGATTAAACCAAGCTCTGTGAGCTTGTTTTAACCCATACAGAGATCTTTTTAACAAACAAACATGATTCGGGAAGTTAGCATCAATATAACCAGGGGGTTGCTTCATATAAATTGTTTCAGCCAGATTACCATTCAGAAAAGTATTATGAACATCTAGTTGTTTGATAGACCACCCAGATGATAAAGCTAGAGATAGAAGGAGTCTTACAGTCGTAGGCTTTACCACTGTACTAAAAGTGTCGAAGAAGTCCTGACCTGGAACCTGATTAAAACCTTTCGCAACCAGCCTAGCTTTATGCCTTTCAATAGCACCATCATCCTTTCTCTTCGTACGAAACACCCATTTACAGCCAATAATATTCATACCTGCAGTGGGTGGAACTAGAGACCATGTATGGTTATGCAGGAGAGCATTGAATTCTTGGTCCATGGCTTCACGCCACTCAGGATATTTGACAGCTTGAGAGTGACATGTGGGTTCCATGGGATGCACCTGAGCTGCTAGAGCAAAAAGAGGAGTATCTGCGTTGCTGCGAGTGGCCATAGAGTGAGTACGGACATTGGGCCTGATGGACCGCCCACGTGGACGGCCTCGCCAGCGAGCAACAGGCTCCACAGGATCACCCGACGAGGCAGCCTATCCGGGATCCACGGCTGGTTCGAATGAAGCAGGTAGCGGCGGTTCTGGCGGTTCATCATTGGACACGACAGGAATAGGTGTGCTGTGACTGAGAACAGATTTCGCCCAAGGTCCAGAAAACGGAGTAGATAGATCCTGCAAAGAAGTTTTAGTAGCAAAGGGAAAAACTTCTTCATCAAATCTGACATGCCTGCATGTGTAAATCTTATTAGTATGTAAGTCCATGCATCTGTACCCCCTAAATGACTCAGGATAACCTAGGAAGACACATGGAGAAGACCTGTATGACATCTTATGACGATTATATGGTCGAAGATGAGGGTAGCATAAACACCCAAAGACACAAAGAAAAAGATAGGAATGAGGGGATTTATGTAACAGGAGATGAGGACTGGAGTTATTTAATACAGAAGATGGCATTCTGTTAATTAAATAGACAGCAGTCTCAAAGGCAAAATCCCAAAATTTCAAAGGAACAGAGGCATGAGCTAGAAGAGCCAGACCAGTTTCAACAATGTGACGATGTTTTTGTTCAACACGACCATTCTGTTCATGTGTATAGGCACATGATTGTCTATGTTGAATTCCTAATTGAACAAACGAAGAATGCAACTTTTTGTACTCAGCACCTAAATCAGACTGAATGGCCTTTATTTTGCAATTAAAGGACCGTTCAACAAGAGTACGAATTTTATCAAAGATGACATAGAGATCAGACTTTAATTTAATAGGGAAGAACCATGTATAACGGGAATAGTCATCCACAAAGATCATAAAGTAACGGAAGCCAGATGTAGATAAAGTGGGCGCAGGACCCCAAATGTCTGTGTAAATAAGATCCAGTACATGAGAACTAGAGGAAGCAACACGAGGGAGGGGAAAATGGGCAGATTTGCCTAATTGACACGCATTGCATAAAGAATTAGTGCAACGAATATTATCACGAGATCCACTAACTAAACAAGATCGAAGTATATGGCTAAGAACACGGTTATGAGGATGACCCAGACGATTGTGCCAAGTGGAAGCCTAGGCACGAGCGGAAAGAAACGCTGACGGAGACGAACTAGGTAATGGAAGTGTGTATAGTCCCCCAGAACTATTGCCCCGAAGAAGTATTTCCTTGGTATTGATATCCTTCACAACAAAAAAAGAGGGGTGAAACTCAAAAAAAACTTTATTATCGAATGCAAACTTCTGAACAGATAATAAAGAATTAGACAAACGTGGAACGTGAAGTATATCAGACAATGTGAATGATCTAGAAGGGGTATTAAAAGAAGCATGACCAACATGACTAATAGATAAACCCATACCGTCACCGACACGCAAGGTGTCATTGCCAACATATTCTTCTGAGGTGGTCAAAGCAGCAATGTCCGGAGTAACATGATTAGTTGCCCCTGTATCTGGGATCCATGTCTGAGGAGTACCAACATCTGAATTATCTTGATATGTTAGATTGGCCTGAGGTGGGGAATCATACCGGTTATAGCATACATGAGCCTCGTGACCAGTCCGCCTACATATCTGGCACTGAACTTGATTGCCACCACTGTTGCGTCTGCTACCGCGGCCACCACGCCCACGGCCACCTTGCTGTCTACCACCACTACCACGATTGGACCCGCCGTTGCCACCGCCTGCTCGTTGACCGCCGCCACGGTTCTGACCTCCGCGACCTGATCGGCCGCCACCGCGCTGAACAGCAAGAGCCGCCGGAGCACCGCCGTAATCACGGCTGGCGATAAATTCCTGGGCGCCGAGGAAGTCCGCCAACTCCTGGAGCATGACCGGCTGCCCATGGACGGCAAGAGACGCGGTGAGGGCACGGAATTCCGGTCTCAAGCCGCGAAAAACAAAGAGATTCTGATCGTCGAGGGAGACGACGCGGCCGGCGAGGGTGAGCTCTTCAACAATCACCTGAGCTCGCCCGATGTAATCCGCAACCGACGAATCACCCTGGTCCAGTCCCTGCAACTGGCCGAGAAGGTTTAACGCGCGGGCGCGAGAGGAAGACGACAACGTCTGAACAATGTCCTCCCAAAGGGCACGACTCGTGCGACGTCCGATGGCGATTGGCATGACCTCGTCGGAGAGGGAGGAGACAAGCATGGACAACAATGCTTGATCTTGATGCATCCAAACGGCATAGGCGGGGTTCGGCCGTGGCATGGTGTCGGCGGTGTCGGCGTCGGCAGCAAGAAGAACAGCCGGTGAGGGTTTCGTACCATCAACAAACCCCATTAGGTCATGCCCGTGAAGAAACGGGACGACTTGCGTACGCCAGAACAAATAATTCATGTAGGTTAATTTCGTACTGATGAAGTGATGTGCAGTGGATAGCGACACAATTGACGACGAACTTGACGACATAGCAGCACCAGACACGGTCCGTTCGGAGGAATTAACAGATCCGTCAGCCATAGGGACGAGAGACAAAGAAAAAACCCTAGCTTACTATACTAGATGAGAACTGATTGTATTGTATTTACTGAACTTGATTACAATGAGATCAGATGATGTGAATATATAGAATAGAGAGTCACAGTGTGACAATGATAAAAAGTAGAGAGTCACAGTGTGACAAAGATAAGAAGTTCTAAAGAGACTCATCTACATAGAGTTCTAATACAGTGGCCTAATTGCATTTTCAAGTTACGTTCGATGGCCAATTTGAACCTTATTCCAAAATAAATTTTCAATATACACAAATAATAATAATAAATAAAATAAAATAAAATAAACATTCAATGTATTAATATTGAACTTTTAGTACAATGAACATTCTATCAGTGGTCCACCTTACAAGGTGAACATGTTATTTGTCAGGTGCTGAAAATTTTGGGTTATCCATTTTAACTTTTGCTAATTTTGGCACAAATTTAGTCCATTGGAGCCACCATTATCAGCACACACAAGCTTTCACAGACCGTTCTTCACCAAAGTGGTGAGATCACCATCTCAATCACACCTGAACACTAGGAAGCAAAGATCTATTACTAGCCCTCATCACCATCAATTTCTAACCACCTTCACACTTAGATTTCCACCCAATTCAGGCCTATCGTCATATGAAATTCACAGCCCGATTTTGTTTGTGGCTTTCCTCTGTCATCCATGCTTCACTGCCACTAGGAAGAATAGTTATAGAATATGCATGTAAATTCAATAAAGAGAAAAAGATAGATGAAGAAACCCAGTATGGCAGTACCTGTTGATCTCCAATATATCAACTGAAGAGTGAATATGATGAACTTGGCTTTTGTTATCTATTTAAGTAGGCATGTTGTAAGTTACATAGCTGAAAGAATCAATTCTGATTGATGATAAGGTTAACAGAATAACTAAACTGAAGCTTTTTTGGCCCAAGTTTTGGAAATCTTGGTAAAAAAAAATTTGGCCAAAATGCCAATTTGACATTGGTTCAGGGTTAAAATTGAACACAATACATAAATTTAAACCCCAAACTGCCAACCTAAGGGAACCTCACGTCCCCTGACCTGAGGACCTTGTGAGAAGAGGTAAATCGTGGGATGTTCCTCAGTGACATAGTGATCCGAGTGCCTGCTTATTTCCCCGGATCTTACCCCTTGCAGGGTTCAAACCCGGACATTTGCTGGCCACCACAGCCACACTCAGGCTTTGAACCTCAAACCTAAGGGCTCCTCACATCCCCTGCCCTAGGGACCTTGTGAGAGGAGATAATTTACGAGATGTGCCTCAATGGCGCAGTGATCTGAGTGCTTGCTTATTTCCCAAGATCTTACCCCTTGCGGGATTCGAACCCAGGCATTTGCTGGCCACAACAGCCACACTCAAGCTTTCACCACTGAGCTATGCCCCAGGGCTGAGCAAAATACATATAGATAGGGGAGATTATGGAATGATGGATTGAGAGAATTAACTGCAACTGATTAAACTTTGGAAAAATGGGCAAAAAGTGTTAATTGTTAAGGCAAAATTGTCAATGCATGAAAACCGTAAGAGCCAGATTGACAATTCAGCCAATGTAGAATCTGTGTACAAAGTAGCACAATAGGCAAATTAACAAGAGCAAGTACAAGAATTCTCAACTTTTTCTAAGCATTGAAGAAGAGATTAGAGTTATCAACAAAACAATTCAGACTATATTATTCTACATCCATCAGCAGGCTGCAGAATTCTAGCACAAGCAGAAGTTAATTTGACCACAGAAAAATAAAATAAACACACACACAAGCTGTATGTTGCACCAATTCATTAGTGAATCAAGAAGTAAAGCAATCCCACAGCTGCATAATCCTCACTAATTCGTAGCACAACTTTATTCACTTCAATGAATGATTCAAAAAACGTATAAAAACTAGCATAAAGATGCACCCCGTTGATGTTTGTTCATCTTCTTTTTACAGTCAAATCTCAAATTCCTTATAGGGTTCTCCACTTGATCACTGATTCTCAGCCCCTTCATTGTTTACATTTCCGAATTTCTGCTTGAAGGAATCCTGCCTCTGTAACCACATCATATGCCCCTAACATCCATTACATCCACACCCCCATCAATTCCAAAGTTAGCATAAATCAGTCGATCCCTCACCCATCTAAGAAAACCACGTCCAACTATAATGCAACTATATACACACACATACGTGTTGTGGAATCAGATATTACCTGGAGACCAGCGGCCCATGCGATTAGGATAGAGGCGAACCAGAACTTTTTGTCTTTGAGGAGGTCTTTTACTTGGAATTTCCTGGTTTCCATTGCGAAATCTAAAACCCTAACCCTAGGAATGTGCGCGCAAATAGATCCGATTTTGATCGGAATCCGTATTCAGCACTTGGCTGATGTCGGGTCGTAATTTTGAATGGGTTCGAATTTCGGTAAATCACAAACTACGCATATAGCTTTCTATTATTACACTTAAACCCTAATTCTTGAAAGTCAGTTTTTCTTTTTTTCCATCTTCTTCTATAAAAATAAAAAATAAAAATAAAAAACTGATTTTCCATCTTGTCCTGCTTCTTGGCTATAACATATTTTTTTGTCTATGAAAATTGGTGGGTTCATAACTTCATACCCGTTCTAATGAGTTGAGTTCATTCATTTCATTGGGTCTAACTTATTAAGAATAGTTATAAAGTTTTTTAAAAGAAAAAAAAAATAGAAGTATTTTCAAGAGGAGTTTTTGGGCAAGTTTTTTACAGAGCTAAAAATTGAGGAGTTTTTTTCTCTCTTTTTTTTTTTTTCTTTTTTGATGGGAGGGTGGGTTTTAAAAAAAAAAATCCAACAAAATTAAGTTTTTTGCATGAGAAAAAAAAAAAAAAAAAAAAACTAGGCACACACTTCTGCCCAACGGGCGCATGTGGCGCTTCAGAGTGGTTGCTAGATAGCGACAACTTTGACTGATTATCTTTAGGGGGCGTTTGGTTCACGGAATCTTGGATTACCCCAGGTAATAGGATTACCTCCTGGAAGGTAATGTGAGATTTTGGGAATGTAAGATTACCTTGTGTGTTTGGTTTAAATGGTGTAATATAATATTACTTTGTTTGGTTCAGGGTTATATTTTAGGTTATATGAGTCAATTTACAATAATGCCCTCAATAATATATATATATATATATATATATATATATATATATATATATATATATAGGCTTTGGATCTGGTGCACCCCTCTAATAGATGAGCCCATGAGGCCTAATAATACCCATTGATTGAATTCCCATCTATGGTTGAGATTAAAAGAAATAATGTTCATTATTATCTATGGTAAGGTTAAATTAGTAATTGTAAGGCTGATTTAATTAAGGACTTAAATTAAATGGAATATGAATCATCTTTTGCTGCTTTTGAGGATGGAAATTAAAAGATTCTATTAATAAAAAGATTAGAGGACATAATTAGCGTTAACAATGGGAGATGTGTGATGACGTCGCTGGTGATAGTAGGAGCAACAATTTAGGACTTTCAGCAAATGGATATTGGCAGTAACGGTAAGTGCATATTCACCTCTAAGTCTGTGCGCTACCATGGTTTTTCCCGAAATGGTTGAGGTGTGAAACGAGTTTGGGGGTGGTCGATAGCAGGCGTTCACAAATCGTGTGTGTACGGGTACACCTGCCTGTGCGTACACCATACTACGTTGTAGTGAAGGTAGTCTGTGTCTGTGTTGTTTTTGTTTTGCGTTGTACCGGTCAGTGCATATATACTTTTGTGTTCGTGCATATTCGGTGGTTTTTTTTTTCGTCCTTGCATACTTCGTGTCTGTGCATATGCTGGTTTTTGTATAATGCTTATAAAATATACGCCGTACTACCTAACAAACAACCTACACTGTGGCCGTGTTTTTGGTTTTTTTTTTTTTTTTTTTTTTTTTTTTTTTTTTTTTTTTTGGTTTGTACCAGTAAGTGCATGAATGGTTCGTGTCTGTGCATATGCTGGCTTTCGTAGAATGCTGATAAAATGTACGTCGTATTACCTAATAAACAAAATAGACTGTGACCGTGTTTTGTGGTTTTTTTTTTTTTTTGGTTTGGACCATTATTTGGACCATTAAGTGCATGAACACTTCGTGTCTGTGCGTATGCTGGTTTTGTATAATGCTTATCTACTGCATATTTCATCTAATAAACCCATGTTATTGCATATACCTCGTATTGCACGGATTATAGAGTAAAATGCATACAAAATGCACAACACATGATGTTTACCAATAGAACCCTTAATGCACACAGTATATATATATATACGCACGTACCGTAACCTACAGTCAGAAAATTAAAGCCCTAAGTGCATGTTACAGCTACAAAATACATAATATACATACTAAATATGCAACGCAAAGACCAACACCTCAAAAAGCACACACTATATATATACAGGCACATACCATACCCTACAGTCCCAAAAATAAACCTTCATGTGCATGTTATAACAATATAACCCTTAATGCACAAACTACATATACATATATGCACATACCATATACCTACAATCATTAAAAAAAACGCCCAAGGTGCATGCTAAAAAAAAAGCAAAGAATACCCTTATATTTCACTTAAAACACACAAACTTAAAAGTACACTCTTAAAAAAAAACAGAAATAAAGCACAAATAATATAAAAAACTACTGCATATTTCACCTACTAAACCCATGCAATAGATATTATGTAAATGCACAGTAAATGACTGTTTTGTATCCATAGACCACTTTGCATGCCTGTCAACCAAACAATCGATCACAAATTTGCACCAATTCAGATTCTTAATCTCATCCTCATCCGGAACACTATCCGGCACCGGGTCAGATGGGGCTTGAGCCACCTTGTTATCTTCATGTGGTGCCGAGGTCGGCGGGGGGTGGTGTTCTTCGAGGGGGGGGGGGGGTCAGGCTGTAAAGTTGCAACCGGATCGGTTACACCAATTGGGGTGTGTGGGTCACCTTGACCTGCAAAAATCGAAAACAACACCATCATAAAAATAGATAACACTGCATTTAACTACATCCCAAGCACAAACCACATACACTCCCCACAAAAAACATACTCGACATTGTAATCAGCACAAAAATGCACCTACCATACCATACATTTGCACAGACTTAAATAGACAAAAAAAAAATAGGATTTTTCACTGTGTTAGGCACCTATACTATCTCTGGTGCACATACTATATATTCCCCATGATATAATTAAATGAAAAAGATGTTTACTTCACACTAATTAGCATAAAAAATGTGCATACCAGCGCATTCTACACTGTAACGCACACACTATATACCTACAATGTATACGTATGCACAGACTTAAAAAACAAAAAGAACTAAAAACCACATAATACCCATTGTATAATTAAATGAAAAAGATGTTTCAACACACTGCATCACCCTAAAACAAACTTTATAAATACAAAATCAAGATAGTTAACACGGCAAACAAACACTTATACCTAACCAAATTAAAACATATAAAAAACATATAGCGACATACTAACAACAAAAAAAAATGCACATACTCAGACAGCAAAATGCACAAAATGTGCATGTAAAAGATGGTAACATGGGGGCAATGAACATAAATTACGGCTAACAAGAAATGTACACGCATAGTCACTACTGCGCACATACGGCCATACCCCTCCCATATTATTCATTTTTAATATGCTCAAAAATTAAAAATACAAAACCACGATACTAAATCTACACAAATATGTTTGAACATACTTAACGCAAATACAATATCCGCTATATGCACATACTATATCCCACAAATTTATACTGGAACGCACATACTATATCCCTAAGATGCATTTTCCTTCATTTCAATCGCAGGCAATTACACCTATCCCCCCAAAACAATTACAAACAAAGTCCAAGCAAATATACAGAGGAAAAAAACAAAAACAAAAAAAAAATGGAAACAGCATAACAAAAAAAAAATTAAAAAAAAAATGCTCGCCGGATATGTTTCTACCGCCGGAAAGATGTTTCCCAGACCCCGGCTCCCAGACCGACTCCCCAGTCCCCCGGCGACAAGACGCCGCCCATGCAGCGACCGCCCCATAGCCCCGCACCCACAAAAAGAACCCACAACCAGACAAAACCCCGGCGATACAATTTGACTGCCATTGGAGCACAAATCGCCGATAAAAAACGAGAAGACAACCATACACATGCAAGACACCCCCAAACTTGACTTTAGAACAACAATAATGGGGATTGCGATTACCTTCGATGGAACCACCGTTAGCCCGCCGTTGCCTCTTCGATCGGCGTACAGTAGGCGCCACCATGATGAACTTCACCCGCCGAGATTTTTGATAGAGAGGGAGAGATGATGGAGGTCAGCTATTGATGGGGAGTAAGAGAATGGCTGGAAGAGAATGGCTGGAAGAGACAGACAGAGATGGAATACAAAGGGTTGAAATACTCTCGCAGATTCCCAGGCAAAATTAAATACATCCTATAATAAAAGCTATTGCAAATTTACAAAAAAAGCCCTAATGTTAACAAAAGAGCTGCTACACGTGTGAAATTTCCCAAATGATCTGGACCATTCATCTAAACTAATTAATGGTCAGAAAAGAGGCTCACGAGCTCATCTGCCAAGGGGGTGTGCACCTGATCCAAAATCTATATATATATATATATATATATATATATATATGTGTGTGTGTGTGTGTGTGTGTGTGTGTGTGTGTGTTTTTATTTATATCTATGAATCTATATCAAAACTTAAATATTAAAAAAAAAACTAAATATATAAATATACACATATGTATATTTAATTATATAAACATATATTAATTTCATCATCATCATCATTATTATTATTATTATTATTATTATTATTATTATTATTATTATTATTATTATTATTATTATTATTATTATATAAAGATTAGTAAAAAGGGTAAAGTTGGAATAATTCAAGGTAATCTAAGATTACCTAAAAAAAATGGGGTAATCACATTACCTTGAAACATTACCGCCACATCAGCTTTCAGGTAATATAACATTACCTGGTAATCTCATAACTTGAACCAAACAAGGTAATATAACATTACCAGACTCAAATGACCTAGGTAATCCAAGATTCCGTGAACCAAACGCCCCCTTATTTTGTTTTTCTAAAGGTTGTTATTGTAGTTATTTTTTAAACAAATTTTCTTATTTAGTATTGTTATTATTTTTTTTTAAATTATGCAATGCACTTTTAATGTAATATATAATTTAATAACATATTATTTAAATTGAAATTGTTAATTATCAATTAAGTTAAATTTTGATATGTTTAATTTAAATATAAACAAGTATAATTATAAGTTTTAGAATGATAATAAATAGAGAAATAATTAGAATATGATTTTT